TCGGTCGGTCGGTCGGTCGGACGTTCGTTCGTTCGTTCGTTTTTGTTCGTACGTTCGTTCGTTCGTTCGTTCGTTTATTCGGTTTGTTGGAACCTTTCAAAAGTGTTTGTCTCTTCATTCTCCTGAGCGACCTATACTTTATCTACCTATACTTTATCTACAAAGCTAATAAAGTAATAAAGTATATTAGTATTTTTACACAAGTAAATATAATAAATCCGGCGCGCTCATTGGTCAAAATTTACGTCTAATCCTGCTATACTCACCTACAGGTGAATATAGCGAACGAGCGCTCGCTCGTTGTCGATTTGTGCTTCTTTTAGAGATGAATAAAATTTGAAAAAACAAAGCAAATGTCTCTCCACGTGATTTATATTAAATTCATTGTGTTAAAAATACTAAAACAGTTATTCGCCTCAGGCTCAGTGAATATCGGGGAATATTTACCTCGTCGCTCTCCTTATTAGTATTATTATTGATACTATTAATATCATTATATTCTATCTATAGTAAGATGCAACTACCGCAAGGAATGTACATTTGGTGCCTGGGGTAGCTGGACTAAACCCGATATACCCAAGTCTGATAATTCATCTACTGGCTGTTACAAACAATTTAGGTACCAACCATACCAACACCCCCTACAGACAACATATCAACGATGGAACTGTAATGGTCTTAAGACGAGTTGCCCTGCAACCCCATCTGAAAGCCGCCTTTACTGTAAGTATTTTTATCAATGCTAGGAGTACAGTAAAAACCTGCATAAAAGAACCCCCATTTTTGGAGTTGAGGCTGATTTTGTTCTTATTTAACGGGTGTTTACTGAATAAACAGCCTGAAGGTGTTCTTAAGGTGTTCTTAAAATAAATGTTTCTAAAATATATAACAGTATTACTATATAGACTACCAATACATGTAGGTGATATCAATGTGTAAGTTCAAAAATGTTATTAAAAAATCTTGACTGCAATAATAACTGTATCAAAACAGTAGAAAAATAAATTATTGTCAGGTCAGGCTTGGAGTCTGCTACTGGTAATATTGATCTTATTTTTTTAAAAACACTTTTTAATATTTCAGGCTGATTGTGTTCTTATTTACATGGTACTTAAAATGCCCAAATTCAGGCTGGGTGTTCTTAACTCACTTGTTCTTTTATGCGGGTTTTTACTGTATTTGGTAGTGACTCCACATTAATCTTAACAAATCATCCCTCCCTTTCCTCACTGTAAAACAGATGTCTAGGCAGATTAAAGGTAACTCATGTCAGGCAATGCTCATTACAATCAATGGACTACTTCGACGATACAGCGGCCATCTTGGATCGCAAGGCAATAGAAAAATAATATCAGCCGAAGCTTTACCAAAAAAAACAATTTTAACACTAATTTTTACGCATCGCCCATGTTTTTGACACTTATTCGTCATTGTCCCGACGATTTTCCGAACATACGCAGTTTACGTTCCGAGGAATACCAACTTTTTTCCGAGCATATTACTCGTCAATTACGACTCAGCAAACATGCTCGGCTGATCACAGGATGTAGTTTCTTTTGCTGGTCCATATTAATTAAGGAAGATGTTCTTTTCTCGTCAGCGAAGATGAAAAACAATCAGAGCTTTCGGCTCCCATCCCAGAGCCTTTGTCAATTATGGTTTTTGATTTTGTCTTGAGTTTTCTCGTTTGGTTGGTTTTGGGTTATGTACTAACAAAATGCCATATACGTTCTCCAGGTTTGTGCAAGAAAGCTGTCTGTAATGAAGGATCCTGGTCATCCTGGGTTGGTATTGTCCCTAAAGGAAAATGTACCAAACAAACTCGACAGCAACCCTATCGAGTCACGTGGACGACTGAAGCAAGCATTGGATCCTGCCAAGGAGTTTCTGACAAGTGTCCTGCACCAAACGTTGATTTGAGGAAGAGATGTAAGAGGTGGCGATAAACCTTAACAATAAACAATATGAGCCACTACTAGGCTATACGTTGTAGCCTACTAGTAACAAAAAGTCCCGGCTTTAAAAACTAAAACATTAAATTTAACTTTAATTCAAAACTCGTTTGCAAATATTTGACCGAACAATTACGGCCTCACATAAGCTATTGACTCATAGTCCATTCGTCGAGGACTTATTGCTGAATACTCCATGCTGTTAAATTAACTCCAAGTTTACTGTTATAGGCAGCTGCAGCAAAGCTGTTTGCAGCCTTGGGAACTGGGGGTCGTGGTCTGGTAACGCTGCTCAAGGACAGTGTGGAAGTCAAGTTAGAACACGTTCGTACTCTAAAAGTATTGTCTATGAAGAACGACAAAGCTGCGATGGTGTATCTAAAGACTGTCCAACAGCAAAAAGTCAAACAAGAAAGTTCTGTAAGTAGCAATACTGAGTTACTGATAAACGTTTGTTACGAGGGACAAGGAGATACTTTGAGCTGAAATCAATCAAGGGTAGTGTAGCGGTAGTGGAATCAACATTCACCTCTCGACTCGGCATCACAGTAATGATAAAAGGGTAAATTATTCACCGTGAAAAGATGAAAAAACTTACTGGCGTTTCGGAAGCTAGTTCTTCGTCGGAGTAAAAGAGAAAGAAGTGGTAGAAAGGAGTGTTTATATACTGGGAACAAGACAAAAGAAACTAATGAGAACAAGGTGGGCAAGGAAACGAAAGAAACAATCTAAAGGCAAAAGAGTGGGTTAGTTAAAAGCAAAGCGTTCATTAATCCCGTTGGGACTAAGAGTGCCCAATAGGTGAATAWGCCGCATTTCTTTGGTCTTGCGATAATCATTGTTGCCGGCATCACATGTATCACATGTAAGTAGAGTTTGTTTTAGGTCTCTCCCTTGATTCGATGTTTTTTCTCTGGTTCTCCGGCTTTCCTCCCCCCGCAAAACCAAACAAGCTTCATTTAATTCTACTTATGCATAAAAACTATTGCAACGCTATTGATGACAAGAATTGTTATTCAATCTTTAGGTAGCTGTAAATATGCGATCTGTAAACTGGGAGAATGGTCCGAGTGGAGCCCACAGGCACTAGCTAAAGGCTCATGTGGTCAGCAGCAATCCCGTCAAAGACGATACGAACTTACAGTAGCCTATCAGAATCATGTGGGCCCCTGTCCATCCCTTCCTCAAAAGTGTCCTGCAGACATCGTGGAAAAGAGAGAGCAGTGTAAGGAACTATAGTCATATGAATAATTTTTTTTAGATATAAGGATAAACCAAACACCACGTGGTGCGTTAGCGGAAGCAGAAGAAAACCGATGGACGTACGGATTGGCGCAACGAACGAACATAGCATTGTATAATTTACGAAACTGACAAACTACTAACCAAAAGGATACCGAAATGAACCAACAAACCTATGGATGTATCGAAGAAAGAAAGATTAAATTAAAATTAAGAAGCACAATCATTCATAACCTTCATTTTTGATAGTTTGTAATCTGATTTTTCCAGGTTCATGTGCCTATCGAGATTCTTGCGCACTTGGCGCCTGGAGCGAATGGAGTGCAGATGTTACTGAGGAAGGATGCAAGATACAAACACGAACAAGACCTTATAAATCACCCCTGAAGCACGCTCAGGGTGATAGTTGCAAAGGTCTCAATACTGAGTGCGTCGATGAACCCAAGGAAAGCAGGACTTTCTGTAAGTAGCTTTAACAAGAATTGGCTAATTATTATGTGCTTTGTACGAGCGCCATCCTGAAATACGAATTGGAAAACCTCGCTACGTCTTCACTCTTTGTTGCTGATCAATCAGGTCAAGAGGTCCCCCACAGGAGAAAGGAAGGAAAGAGCACCCAGTGAATTTCCCAAAGATATATAAATCTGCCTGTCAATCCTTAAGTTTGCTACACACTATTTGGACTGAATTTGTACAACGTCGCTGTGTTTCTGGATTACAGATTCATTTGGTTTCAGTGTCAAATTATTAGTGTCAAAATATTCACAAAATACGAACGGTAATGTAAAGAAAGTACAATTTTAACAGTGCACACAAACTTAAAATCTAACGAATCTTATAAACTAATTACGATTTTGAGAAGACAATACCACAAAATATTGACGGCTGGTTGGGAGAAAATATATTCTATACTAGGCGGAGTCGAAATTTTTGTATCACGATTTTAAAGTATTGAACACAAAAAAAGGAAAAAAAACTGACTGATTTTCGTTTAAAGCGCGCGCGCTCAAGCTTTCCTTTTCGTCGTGGGTTAGTCAATCAGAAAACTGAGTTACAGAAAACCTGAAACTGCAGTATTCTTGAGCCAACCTCTAAATTCAAATCGTTTGCATACGTTTTTTCAACGGCCTATAAACATTATTTTTAATTTTTGGTTCACAGGTAAATGCAAGTACTTACGATGCGACATTGGCGTGTGGAATGAATGGAGTAGTGATGATATCAGTGCTGGTTCTTGTGGAGAGCAGAGAAGAACAAGGTCCTATACATCCAAAGAAGTCTTTGAAAACAGAGTCGACAACTGTAATGGACTCCCAACTGTCTGCCCTAGTGATCAACATCAAACGAGATCAATGTGTAAGGAAAAGTATAATATAGTAGTCCGAATTAAAATTATTTCAACATTCCCATCAACCTTCATCTGGACTAAGAATAAAAAAATAACCGTTCTTGGGTTTGTATGAAGTACGTTATAGCCGCCATTGACCTTAAAAAAGGTTCAGTCTTGATATCGGGTCTTGCCATGCAATTTGTCATTTATTGGGTAGCATGGGTGGCGTTCGCGGCTAACGCGTCGTCTTTCGCCACTGTGAGTCTAACAGGTTGGGTCGCTGGTCCGTCCCCCGCGGTCGTCACATGTGAATTGAGTTTGTTTGATGTGTTGCTCTCTTTTATGCTACGAGGGTTTTATCCGGGTTCTCCGGTATCTCCCCGCCGTAAAAATCAACATGTGAGTTGAGCGTTGTGTGCGTAGAACATTTAATGCAGTGGTAGTGCGTGTGAGCGAAAAGTGTCCCCAATTAGAACTAGACATCATGGGAGCTAGTGGATGCACGCCACGTTTAAGATAGTGAAGACCTTTAAGTTCAAATTAATAATATTTTTATTCTTTTATATTCTTTCAGGTAAGTGCAAGACCGTCACATGTGAGGTGGGTGACTGGGGTCCATGGCAAGGTGATATACCTTCAGATACTTGCTCTACGCAGACTCGCAAGAAGAGCCTCTCAGCTAACGAAGAGCTCAAGTACCAAAAAAACACATGCGAAGGTCTGCCAACCAAATGCAGCGAGCCGCAACCAGAATCAAGGAAAATGTGTAAGATAATTTGTTTGTCAGTCTATTGACCTCTTGCAGCACGTCGGAATACAGCTCAATTTGGAGGACATAACGAGAGGTTTCCCAGGAAAGTGAAATTCTTTTGTTTTGTCCTCCAAATTGAGCTGCTTTGACGTCACATGCAAGGAATCTATTAGTAGCCGTAGATGATATTACGTAATGCAGCAAAAACATACAGCATCAACATATTGTGCAGTGATCGTGTCAGTGATGTGTCAAGAGCGTGTAAGGCTGATATTACACGGAACGTTTCGCGACGACGATTTTTCGCAATACGACTTGTGGATTTTTAATACGTCAACTTTTCGCGCAACGTTGTAATTGTTGAATGGATAGCGTCATTCCCATGAGAACGTAAAGTTAAAGTGAGAGGTTATTTCTTCACAATGGCATGGAATCCATTACGATGACATGGAACCCCHCCCCCCCCCCCCAAAACGTTTTACTGAAGCTGAATGTTACATTGCCCCCACCCCTCCCTTGACAGAGACCTCGTTACGCCCCTATAGTGAAAGACAGTATTACCGTTTTCTTTGATTATTTCAGGTAACTGTTCACATCGGGAGGACTGTACACTCAAGGAGTGGGGATCTTGGAGTGGTGACGTCCCAGATGTTGGCTGTGCAGTGCAGATCAGGAATCGTGAATACAACAAGTCTATCATTTACATCGAGAAAGAGTCTTGTGAGGGTCTCGATGTCTGTCCTGCCATTAGAGACGAAACAAGAACAAAATGTAATTAAGTACTGTGATACTTTATAGCCTTGTATAACAAATTTCATTTAGAAGATACTACTATTTGTATGAGAAGATTTAATTGTAGGATAACGCGATATGATGCAGTAATAATCATCTCAACATTTTCTTCATCATTGTCTTCATACTGTAAGGCGGCGATCATCACCATTATCACCACCATCTAGGTTCTCATCATCATCGTCATCATCACCATCACCATCATCAATTATCTTCGTCATGTAAGGCCATCATCACCATCTAGGTTCTCATCATCATCATCATCATCACCATCACCANCATCATCATCATCATCACCATCACCATCATCAATTATCTTCGTCATGTAAGGCCATCATCACCATCTAGGTTCTCATCATCATCATCATCATCACAATCATCATCATCACCACCATCTAGAACGTCGTCGTCATCATCATCATCAACGTCATCTTCAAATTTCTACGAAATTTGAAATTTCGAATTCAAAGAAGTTTCCATGAAAAGTAAAGCTACTGATCATGATTCGACATTTCCAGGTAACTGTAATCAGATCATCTGCGGCTGGACAGAATGGTTCCGTGCCGGGTATGACCCAGAGACACGCTGCTACGAGGAAGTGCGCGTCAGGAACATGTCTTCGGGATTCAAGAAGATTGAAAGAATGGGAAGCTGCGATGGGATCCCAACATTCTGTACCGATGATAACGTGGAGAAACGAAAGGATTGTAAGTGTGAAGCTATCGATTTGATAGTCACAAATACTAACACATTCAGCTAGTAATTTTGAATCATTATTCTATTTAGGTCAGTCTGGCGGTGGTGGTCACGTGATCGTTACCAGTCCCCCTGTCACGACACGTGCAACAACTCTTCCCCCAACTACAGCGTGTAAGTAAAGCTGACATGTTTTTTTTCTACGGATTCTGAAAAGCACTTTTAACTAATAGCTATTATATATTTTCAAGGAAAGACAATAGGAAAAAGGCGGATACATACATATATATGTATATATATCGCTAAATTGTCAAAGTTTTAGGGATTAGGTATATATATATATATATATATAATATAGTGATCATTATCATTAGAGACTCTTCCACAGTCTCTCGCTCGTCCGTTCCGTCTCCACGCTTAGAGACTGTTCTGGTTCTGGTTTTTGTTTTTGGACTGTTTTGGTTCCCAAAGCACGCCGGGTCCAAGCTTTCGGGACCCATAAGTCCTTTCGGTCACTGTACCGTTACAGTCTCTAAGCGTGGAGACGGAACGGACAAGCGAGAGACTGTGGAAGAGTCTATCATTATCATCACCATCATCATCATCATTGTCAATATTATTATTCTTTCAGTCGTTCCAGCAACATACGTCTCACTGGGTTGCTTCGCGGATTCTCAGAGCAACAAGGTTCGTTCAATGTCTTTACTCTACCTAAATCTACGGTCACAAGTTGATTGGTATGACCTGAAGAAAACCGTTCAAGGATGCGCAAACGCTGCCAGAGAAAGGAGGTAAAACACAAAATATATAGTCACCAAATACCGCAAAAGTTTATTTTGAACCAAGTTTTAAAAAGTTCTTTTTGCAATGGGAGGAAACTAAACAACTTTGTATGAGTTGGGAACTTAAGTTGTGACGTATTTCCGGGTCCTAATCCTCAAAACCTCACAAACCTGCTAAACTAGAAAGTAGAAAAAAATATCTCAATGGACAATGCTTTAGATAATAAATCCTATCATTAAGGAAAAAAATATTTATCGAAAATGCTTTTCGTTTTGAACACGGAAGGCTCGATGTGGCTGTGCTTTCGCGCACTCAGTGCCAGATTCTTTGATATCCCTTTGTACAGAGAAAAGGAAAGAAAGATAGAGTATAGACCACGGGCTTTGCATCAATGTGCAGTGCTGCGCATGCATACTAGACCGTGCACAGAGAAAGCGATCGTATTAGATTTCCTTTATATGGTATATATATTTGCTTAATTGGCCATTTTGCACGAACTTATCTTTCCCCCTTTGATATAAACACGGCAGCCAAACAGCCAAGGAACGCATTGTCTCAACTATTCCATAATTAATTATCTCGTAATATACATTTTCGTTCAAGGTTCAAGTATTTTGGGGTACAGTTCTTTGGTGAATGCTGGGGAGGCCCCAGTGCTGGAAAGACATTCGCACGTAATGGTCCTTCGAATAAATGCTGGAACGGAGTTGGACAACAGTGGGCTAACGCTGTTTACAGAGTAGAAGACATGCCAGGTATTACATTTCCATTACAAAAGGCTTGCTGGCCGATATTTTTCACAGAAGTCGATCTTGCTCGATATTTTTTTGGTGGTTAAAGAGCTTGCTCGATATTTTGGGAATCATCCCCCCCCTCTCGGAAATCAAATGGTACGTCCCTAAGTATGAGGAAAAAGATAACACTGGCCCCATCCCTAGACTATTTCCCATTTTTCGTGCGTTTCGCCCTAAAACACAATGACGTGATAAAAACAATCTTTTGTTTTAACGCAAAGAGTCATGGTCGTGGGTTAGGGGAGGGAAACAAAATAGCAACAACACAAAGAAAACTGGAAAAAAAAAATATTTTGTATAACTTAGAAATGCAATAATTGCCACACCAAATACCGTGTAGGGCAAACTTCAGTTGATAAAAGTCAAATAAGAGCTATCAATTCAGCTGTAGAGAGTAAAACTAATGGCAAATTCTTATTGTTCTTTGCAATTCTGTCCCCCTTACAGACAAGCTTTGACGTCAAAGTGATACAGGGCAATGAATATTATAATAATATTTCTTTTTTGTTCAATAGCTTGTTCTGAAGAGATGAAATTTAACGCTCAAGTCAGCAGTGGTGATGTGTCCGAGGGCAGCTGGTGTGCAGGAAATGAAGAGAAATATCAATGGATTGTATTGAATTTGGAGAGTGCCAAGAGAATCACAGGTAAGTTTTGCTATTACCAGACATTTATCATAAGGTTTAACGACTGAGAGGGGCCTTTGAAGTGCAAGATTTATATGAGGAGATGTATTAGAGGTGAAAACTGTTTTACATGTAAAACTAGAAATGTATGGAGCAATGTCTAGTGTTGAGTGAGGATCCTGAAAGGGGGTCCTAATCCCATTTGCCAGACCCTGTTTTGACAAAAAACCCTAGTTTCCATCTAAGCTTTACTCAAATCTCAATCTTATTCCCATTTTTTTATTTCTTTTTTGTTTGTGAATCCCAATCCCAATCCCTAAAATTCCATCTTCCCAGCCCAAAAAGGGCGAATCACAGCTCTTATTTTAGACATTTTACCCCAGGGCCCTCTTGTGAAACAATTGCTAACTTAGCCATGTAGTGCTTGAAAGTATTTAGTTATCAACTATTTAGTTGTAAAATAGCTAAGAATTCACTCAGGCATGAACTAAACAAAGACGCATAGAGGTATTTGCTTTTGTTCCCAATGTTCTGCTTCAGTAGTATCCACTTTTTGTACAAAATAGCAGCAAATTAGCTGCAATTAGGAAAGGCAAGCGCTTAGCTTCGCAGAAGAATTAATATGTAAGATTTACAAAATATACTGTTCGATTTGACTGCTCGCTTGCCGAAACTTCTCAAGACTGTTTCCATACCATCTTTCTTTGATTTCTTACTGTATAAATGTTTATGACTGAACAACACTTGCTAAAAGGTCGAATTAAAAGCAACTTAGTAGTAGATATTTGACCATCAGCTTACGGGTTAATTACTCTGGAATTCCTTTGGAAAACCATTTTTCAACCTAAAGAAGCCCTAAACTAATCTATTAAGCCTTCTTACCGGTGTTCATAGGGTTTTCTGTTCCTCAAAGCTCCAGACTTTGCAAAACACGACCTGACCTTTGATCTTCCCAACAATGAAACAAAGATGGCGGATGTCGAGTGTATTTTATGGGACTCCTGTGGCGGGCAATGATTGGCTAAAATCTGGTTTGCTTTCAACAAATCACATTTCAGTAAATAAAGAATGACCTTCACAAATTAATCAGTACATTAATGAAAATGATTTGTTTTTATATAGCAAAAATAGAAATAAAAAGAATTTAAAAAATGTTTTTTATGAGGTATTTCTGTTATATCATTCACCAGGTATTGGAACGCAGGGAGGTAACAAAGACAGCTGGGTGACCGTCTACAGTCTTGAACACAGCGAGGAAGGAGAGTCATGGATGCCGTATAAAGAAGAAGGCGTAACCAAGGTAACGATCAAACCGTCAAAACCAAAGAAGAGAGAGTGAAAGAGAGAGAGCGAAAGGGCGGAGGGTCCAGGATCCCACATTTCATTTGATCCTACATATTTCTCTCACGTCCTCCCACTGTCTTTCTACCTACCATTCAGTTTTCTCAGCTATCCGTCTTAAGACTCCCTGTCATAGTAGTACTACGCATTTTAACAATAGACTAAATCCTAATCTATATTTTAAAGATTTTTGCAGGGAATTCTGATCGATTCACCCTCGAAACTCATTGGCTTAAATTCCCCATCAACGCTCAATATCTGAGGTTCAAGCCAAAGTCATGGACCTCGACTCATGTCTGTATGAAGGTTCGTGTGTATGGCTGCAATGAGTGAACCACAAGCTAGGTAAGCATATATTGATTATATAAACCATCACTGAGTTTCGGGTTAGTATAACAGAGGCGAATATTGGGGGGGGGGGGTTGATATTCAGCTCTAGATCATTAACATATTTTCAATAATTTTTCAACAGACGTTCGTGAGATTCATTACCGCATCAGAAATCTAGACAATGGGTCTCAACCACCTATTGAATCAGTTTGATTTGGTGTGATCATCTTTAGTGTATTAATAAAAGTATTACATCATTAGTGTGACTTGTCTTGTCATGGGCTGATTGAGTGAGAGGAATGGGAGGACAGGAAAACTGTTGACTAGGTTAGATAAAATTCTTTTACAGTGCGACGCGCCTAACCGTGGCCACGAGAAACTTATTTTTTTACTAGTTAGCCAATCAGACAGCGAGAATTTGTGCATTTGTACCTGAACTCATTCAGCGTGACCGCAAATATTTACAATTATTTCGTACACTTTGCAACAAAAACTTAAATAAATGGCTGGGAATTTGTCTAGGTGATACCTATTTTGGTCCCTTTGCTAGCTAACACTTTCGTAAAAGTCTTTTAATTGATGGAAACACTTGGGGAGAAAGGATTCAACGGCATTGGTAAAATAATAAGTTCGGTTAGGCGGTTAGGCGCGTCGCATAGTATATGGAGTAGTATAATACCCTTGAGCTCAACAAATGAAACCCGATTTTGACCAAATGACTAGAATCACTGAGAAATAACGATATTCATGGCACCTTTTTCACGATCGTCCGGTTTCGACCAAACCCTCCCACGATGTGAAACTCGGCACTAAGTAGCGAGCTCACGATTCTACGGGAAATGTTGCCTCTATCATTTCGTTCAACGAGCGTAGAAAGTGAACACGCGGTAACTTCAGTACATGACATTTCTAATCATCATTATTTAATGTCCAGGCGTGTAGTCATGGCAAACAACAAGTACATAGTGTGTCCAGGCTTTCAGGATTGCTATCAAGTGATCAGACATCAGACAGTACAGTGCAAACCATATATTCGTGAAATAATACTAATTAGTACAAAATAGCACCAATGAAACAATTGAACTCTAGCAGGATGTTAGTTGCAATAACAAATAAAAATTATTAGAATTCGGAACCCTCATAAACCGGTCACCTACACCCTTTATTAATCGGGCAGTCTTTACTAAAGGTACCCGTCTATCTTAAAAACAGCCTTTGGTAAGATATTAGCGACCTTTAGATACGACGACGAGTACGAGTACGAGTCCTGTGCACGTGGGTAACACTAAATCGTAGTTGATTCCCGATTTTTTACAATCTAAAGTTTCGATCTACGTACTCGATCACGACTACAAAAAGATAGTGCCTCTCTTTAAAAGTTAAACACTCGCGTACTCGTTCTCATACTCTTCGTCGGATCTAAAGGTCTCTAATACCCTTCGTAAAACGGACACCCTCTGCTAATCGGACAGTTATTAAAGAGAGACCCTAATGGAACGGACACCACCACCCTTAGTATTTACCCTTTATTCACTGGATTCCTTATTGGATTCCTCATTAGTGAGACAACACCCTAGCAACCATAAAGTCGGATGCGCGCGCAGGCGCTGCTATGAGACGGTTGCCATGTTTTGGGAACGAGACGAAAGGTTTGTCCTTCGGTGGGATTAACAAGCCCCTGAAGCTGCAAGTCGTACCAATTGGTGTTGCCAGTGAAGGTCTGTAATGATGAACGGAAATAATAATGACTATCAAAATAAAAACAAATAAAATCAAACAAACAAACAAACAATGGAATTTTTTAATAGATTTTTAATCAACAAAAACTTTACTTTAGGTAAAATGTGATTGAAAATCTCAGACGTGTTTGTGTTGAAAGATTTAGATTCATGTATGTATCTTTTTAAGTACTACAAAACAAAGAAATAATACTCAAGAGACGACAATGCATAGCCTGACATGGGAAAACAAAAATGCTCATGAGGGTCTTCTCTCATTGATTGCATAGCTAATATTGAATTGATAGAAATATTACTCATTATTTTATCATATTCGAAAACTGTTACCTCTTTAAAAAAGGTTTTCCCGCTCTCACGCTGTGATCACGCAATGGTGATTCTAATCTACCCATAATTCTGATGGCTTACCCTGATAAGGCCTCTCTCGCGGTATGGAATATAGAAGCTTCCGTCCTCCGAGTATTCCAAGATGAATGTAGTCACCCAGTGGTTAGGGTATTTACCCTGAATGCCAATCCCTGTTGACGTGATAAGATATTGTTATCTAGTGGTGGTCTAGCTGTGCTTTTCAGTGGTCATAGCTACCATTTTGGTTCCCTGCTAGCAGAGTCTCTCTTCTCTTTCTCTCCCTTCTTTCAGGCGGGGATCGGAGGAAGGAGACTGCCGATGTAGAGCGTTTCCTTTGATACACCGCCGTCCACGATTGTGGACGAACAAAACCAGTTTTAAAACCGGTTTTTAACCGATTACATGTAGTGCGCATGAGCAAATGTAAGACACCGTGGCGCCAAACATTGTTTGACGAGAGCGGCTGTCAAAATCATGACAGCGTTGCTAAGTTACGCCACACATGCGCGACAGAAATAACGTCCTACATCGGCAGAGTCTATTTTTCTCTCTCAACCAAAACAAAAGGAAAATAGGTTCTGCTAGCAGGGAACCATTTTGGTTGAATTTTAAAATAATTTTTTTTTGTTGTCGTTAACTGGCCAACATGACGGATCACGTCTTTTGTTATTCGATGTTATTTTTACCTTTTTGACAACAATTTGACCTTACACGTCATTCCCTAGCGTATTATTTCTTTGTTTGAGGGTTGCACACGAGAAGGCACATGAATATGGATACAACTCAAACAGATAGTCTTATTTTCAAGAGAATGACACGTGGTGTGAATTGGGAAAACTAGCTACATTCTCAACGTAACCTAGTAATATCTCCTACGAACTCATTATCGTAGGGGTGTACGTGTATGTATCGTAGGGGTCTTCGTGACGTCATTGACGCCATTTTGGTTGACTTTGACAAAAGATTTGGTCTTGGCGTCTTTTGTCATGTCAATCAACATAGACTTTTCCTGAGTTCGATAAACAGGATGCATTGTGGTCTAGTTTGGGTACAAACAACACCATATAAGGTTTGATGAAAAAAAGATGTTTGTACCGTAGACTAGACCACAATGCACCGTGTTCGCTGTACCAGAAAATTAATGTTCATGGTAGCCACGCCTTTTTCTTCTTTTATTTTCATGGGAAAGGATGTACGCTGGGTGTTACTTGACATCATGATCATTTCCGGTCTCCTGTGGGACTGTTCATCAGCTGAAGTTTAGAATAGTCCCCTTCACAGTTCCCTGCGTCATCTTGAAAGGTAGCCGTGCCTTTGCATCGAAGCGAGACGAACAGTGAGCTTGTAATGATAGAGACATGTCTAAGGTTGTCTAAGGTGTTAAAAAAAGGTCTCTATCATTGCAAGCTCACCGTTCGTCTCGCTTCGATGCAAAGGCACGACTACCTTTCAAGATGGCGCAGAGAACTGTGAAGGAGACTATTCGGTCTTGCTTACAGCACATAGAAGTCAGTGATGTGAGATTCAAAGACTTATCAGCTGATTGAAAAATACCTGTAATTCTTGTTGGACCGTTAAAGATCATCTCCAACCATGGTGACGTATCGTTCTTGCTGGAGCACCACGTTGATTCCAGAAAAAAGCCACTGCTTGCTTTGGGTGTAAAAAGCATCCCAGAAGAGCATGCTGTTGAAGAAAACATTCGAATTGAACAAACATTCAGACAAACAATCAGAAAAACGAACAGACGGACAGACATGACATTCAGTATAATACCAGGTAGGTTAACGATCTTGTAGACAGCATTAACCCACGATGTTCCGACGCCATCTTTACACTTGGTTTCGCTTGCAGGACCAACATTTGCAAAAGTCGTCCCAGCATCCTTTCCGCTCCAACACTCCCCGTAAAACTGGATCGCGAAGTACTGGAAACTAAAACACAATAAACATTTTATAATAGACTCATTTATTTGAATCGCATATCAATCCATTATTTTTTAAACAAATAGCGCTATTGAGAATGCGCATTACGTCATTGATAACGCCCAAAATAAAAAACAATGCACTCTCGAGATTCACCGTTCGTTTACGCATAGATTAAGGTGGCTGAAAATAAGAGTGCCATTCATAAGAGTGCGTCAAATTGCGCCCCAATTCTGGCCCAGACTCCTGTGTCGTCATTTCCGGTTTCCCTTTTGCTCCCAGACTTAGGTCCCTAATATACTGAGCCGTATTCACTACATTCCCCATGAACAGATGAACAGATCTTTTTTCTAGTGACAGTTTATCTATCTTACCCACGGGTTTTTACTTGTGCAGCGCAGGTATCAACCGTCTTGGAATGGTTCTTCCAGTCGATGGCGTCACGTAAGTTACTCACGATGACCGGTAGGGGTCTGGCACTAGAATCGTAGAAGCAGCCTACGTACACATAACTAGCCTTTTGCCCTGGTGAAGATAGGAAATAGAAAACGAAAAGGAAATGCTTTATCAGTAACGAACAAACAAGTAAGTAACATAAGTGGGAAAAATAAAAGAAAGAGGCAAAGGTAATACAAAAAAACGCGCACAAAAAAAACAAAAAACAAAAAACAAACAAAACAAAAAAAAAAAAAAAAACAGCAAAAAAACAAAAAAAAACACCGCATTTTCTTCTGTGCTTTTA